GATTTTTAACATCTTCTTCTTCACTTATTTGATTGCACTACCAAAAGAGTTTTTTACAAGATTGTATTAAAAATGCTAAATAAAAATATTAGTGAATACTACAGTGTTTTCCATGCTTTTGTTATAAATAATATTTAACATGCAACAAATACTGTGCATAACACAGTACATGTTTTTTCAGTTGAAACACACACAGAAACACAAATACGCTAACCACAATCTGTTGATGACATCAGGCCCACTCTGTGACAGGATGTAGTTTGAGCAACTTTACCAAATTGTGTTTGTGCCATCAGGAGTGTCAGAAGAAACTAGAGCACAAACTAGGACTGGACTCATACTTACTGAAGCCTGTGCAGAGGATCACTAAATACCAACTCCTGCTGAAGGTACTGCATTATGTGTGTGTATGGAGATGTCATACCTGAAGTGTTTGTTTTAGGCATTTGAATATGGGATAAATGTTGAAATGCATCTTAAATTCAGCATGAATTGAAAATTTCCTCTATTTTCTAAATGCATGATGTTGATCTTATTATGAATGATTTGTCCATGTATAAATTTAATTTTTAAAAATTAGTTTTAAATCTTCTGATGAAAACAGAGACTTCTCTATGGTGACGCATCTCCAAACATTTATTCTTCTTAAACCTCCCCCTTTCGTTCAATCGACTGCAAACTCTCATTCATATGTCTTCATCCAGTCAAAAATCAATGGATAGTCCCTGACCTAATTTTTTTTCTATTTCAATAATCTGTTTCACTCAGATGTATGTCACAACATCTGTCATTACCTCCATTTCATTGTGACTTTAAAGGTGTCATATAATGGATAACAATGCATGTGTTTGTGTGTTTTAGGAGATGATTAAGTACAGTAAAGGCTGTGAGGGCTCAGTGGAGCTGCAGGCAGCTCTTTCCTCCATACTGGGTATCCTGAAGGCTGTAAATGACTCAATGCACCTCATCGCCATCACAGGATATGAGGTAAAACACATATGCACACACTACTCTCATCTTACCCATTACTGTTCATTAATGTTTTCTGTCACTCCTCTTTATTCCACGTCAATCCAAGCAATGATCATTGATTCCATCCAGGGTAACCTTGGATTCCTGGGTCGCCTGCTGATGCAAGGGTCATTCAGTGTGTGGGCAGAGCATAAGAGAGGTCACGTGAAGGTCATGGAGCTTGCCAGGTTTAAGCCCATGCAGAGACACCTCTTCCTGCACGAGAAAGCTCTGCTCTTCTGCAAGAGGCGAGAGGAGAGCGGAGAGGGATACGAGAAAGCGCCCTCATATAGCTTCAAGCAGGAGCTCAGTGTAAGTGTGTCTTCAACATACAGTGTAATAATAGCTACAAATTTCACAAAATGATGTTGAGCTCATATTGATAAATCACCTCTTTTCTGTTATGTTCTGTTAAGCATGGCATTCTTCCCATGCTGAGGAAAATGTAGTCAAATTTGCACTAGTTAGCATCTTCAAAAGGTTGGCAAATGTGACATTTCATATTTTTTTATGGGTCATTAGCATTTTATTGCACATTTTACAATTTTTAATATTTTATTAATCAAGAAGCACATTTTATAACATGCACAAACTTAAATGTTTAAATTAAAATAATGTGGAATCTATAATTCAAATTTGTGCGTGTCTAATTTGCATATTTAAATGAGTATGGTCACAAAAAAGAGAATTTTTTGAGTATGTTCATTCTGCAAAATTTTATTTTGAAAGGAAACAATAGCCTGTTTACCTGATAATCTCTGTTCTGTCTTTGTTAGATGGCTGCTATTGGAATAACAGAGCATGCTAAAGGGGACAGCAAGAAGTTTGAGATATGGTCCAGATCAAGGGATGAGGTCTACACAGTACAGGTGAGCACAACAGTGTGTGTCTTGAGTTCAGATTTCTATTAAGAAGACTGTTACATGTGTTAAGTCTGCACTGACCAGATATCTCGGGTTTATATGCGGCTTTGTGATATATATTGTCCTGTAGGCCGTGTCTGAGGAGGTTAAGACCATCTGGGTAACAGAAATCCAGAAACTTCTAACAGGACAGCTGGAGGCCTGTAAAGGTATGGACCTGGTTTTACGTTGGTTTGTAAATAAGTAGTTGAGGAGTGTTTACAATATGTGATTCATTCGGATAACTTGCAAAATGCCAAATTAACAAAGGTGCATCAAATGTATGTTTGTGTTATGTAGAGGCAAGTCAACAAAGGGCACCTGAGCAGTTCTCCTCAGATACCAGCTCAACTAACAGGTACAATTACACGCCATCACATTTACACATACATGCTAATTTCATAACATGAAACTCATCTTCAGACTGGTGAGAAATGAACGAAGTAATCTCAGGAGTGGAGGAGTGGAAAATCTGAAAACAGAAGAGGAAAGAGGCAAAGAACTTGAGAACATTCTAGAGCCCAGAACGACAGGCAGAGCAAAAGGTGAGTGAAAAACTCGTGTCATTACATAATTTTCATTTTGATTGAACTTCCCCTTTAACTTCTTTCTGTTTCTTTGGTGATTGCAGGGTCTTCGTTCAGTTTTGAGACAAGACCAAAACGACAGGATATTCGGAGTGACCCTACACCTCTAGGTGACCTATTTCAGCAAACTGAAAATCAAATATAAGAGAGTTCGATTGCTGTCTCCTTTTCAAGAGATTAAATAAAAATAGAAAATGGGCGATGGTAAAAATAACGGATTCATTGGCACCAAGCTCTCTAAAGGCTAAAGGCATGAGCTGATACTTAAAGGAATAGCTCACATCATGTGTACTTCATGTGCCATACTGAGAAATAACTAAGAACGCAGATGCAGAGGTGCAGTCTGATTGGTTATTTTCCTCCCAGAAACAGAGCCACACCCTAACATGGGCGGAGTCAGGTGGTTCAGTACATCAAGCCTGTTTCAGAACCGTAGGAGAGGTACACATACTGAGTACACACGTATGTGCACACTTACGCATAATCCACTGAGGTGTTATAGGGTAGCATGTGTTTGTAGGTTACATGTTTGTCTCATCTGATGCTTTCTGAGAGGTGCTGACCACGTCTTTGTCTTTAAAAGATTGTTTCGGGTTAAGCTCTATCGACAGCATCTGTTGCACAAAAAATAAGTTTGACTATTCCCTCAGTTTGTAAAAACAAAGAAAAATGTCTATATAATGGAGGACATTACAGAGGGTTTCAAAGCAGAAATGTGCAGCAGAGAAGCGCTTTCATTAATTCTTCTGTATAAAAATGTGGTATTTGTGGACAAATTGTCCTTTTATTCATGCTGTTGATAGACAAACTTGAATTGAACCCAGAACGTTCCACTGACACACATCCACGCATGCTCTTTCTGTGTGCTCTGGGAAATGGTCACTAGTCTGTCTTCTGTCTATCACGGTGAGGTTTCAGTGGTCATCTCTGCCCTCATTTAGGTGTTCACTTACAATACAATCCCTGTTTGCCATCCTTTTAACTTTAATCTGTTTTTTCTCTCACTTCTTTTATTTTCTTTTGACTGTCTCAGTTTGGACTAAAGGATCTCTCTCGCTGGATGCCTCTGTGGAGCATGATGGATACTTTAGTGCAGAGGAGCAGGTGACCTCTGACCCAGAAGAGGAGAAGGAAGATAAAATGGTGAGTGACCCAGTCTGTTTTTCAATGTCAGACTCAAAAGGAAAAGGGTTTCATGTTTTAAGCATTTCTTTATCTTCTTATATTTCAGTGTGCAGATGAGCTGCAATCTGTGAGGATAGACGAAGAAATCCAGTGTTCTGAAGAGACTGAGGATCCTGAGAAATGAGAGTTGAGTGTGAATGTGTGCGTAATGCCATCAGTGTACAGCATATACAGTAGGTTTCATGCATAACTCTTGAAAAGAGGGAAATGAGACATATATAAACCATTAACTTTGAAGTTTTGCATACTCTTAAAAATAAAGGTTCCTGGTAGAACCAAAGCGGTTTAGAATACATGAAGAAAGCTGTCAATTAGCATTCACTTTAATCTCAATGGCAACATGCTTTTTTTTGTCAGAACATGCAGCTAATTTTAAATGGCTGTTAAGAAAAATGCTTTTTAGAACCAAACATTTACCAGCAGGGGTCATACTAACCAGCCAAAAACAAAATGTTAGTGCCAAAAAGGGTTTTACAGGACCTTTTTATCCTTTAAATCTAGAAGAAACTATCTTATACCAACTGACAACCCTATAATGTAATTTCAAGAGCTTTTTGACTCTCCAAAAAACTGTATAGAGTGGGAAATGACTGTTGTTTAGAGAGTTCTTTGCAAAAGAAGCTTTATTTTTAAGAGTGTGGTCTTAGAATGCACCAAAATAATGCATTTCACAGAGACACTGACACCCGAACCAACTCTTTACACACTGTCTCGTAGTATGCTGTGATACATGTTTCATATCCCTTAAAACTAAGTAGTTATTTCTGTCACACTATTATGTCCATACTGGGATATGGCATGTCTATTGTCAAGTCCTGTGATCTCCAATGTGAAAGCATGTGACATCAATTGTGTACTGTACAATGCAGGAAACTAGGACCGATATGTAAAACAAGCATATCATATATGCAGATGTTGTTTCTCAAAGTGACTGTGATCACCCTGTGCCATTTGTATGTAAAATATGTTTACAAGTCAATATTGTTTTATATATATGCATTTAAAAATAAAGCCATAGTTGACTGATGACTTTTGCCTATTTTAATATATAAAACTTAACAGGTCAAATATACAGAATGACATTTACAACTATTTGAATATCAGATAAGGCTTTAAGTACGAGTTAATGTAATGCTGTTAAAGTTACGATTGAATTAAGACTGGCCAAAATAATTGCTTTTACGTGGTACCTGTTACTTTTCACAGCGCCGGTCAGGATGGACCAATCACAGTCGTTTGTGATTAAAGGAGAAGGATTTGGCTTTTATATAAATTGATTTAGTTTGAAGTTTGGTTGAGTTTAAAGATCTATTTGATTGAATGTACTGCCTTAGATAATCGAGATATCTGTCTGGAGTTCGAGTAGTTAACAAGAGTGTTTTTTTGCATGCAAGATGAAGATCAACATGACCCGCCTTCTACGCAATGAAAAGAAAACGAAACTTAATGCCACTGAAAGAAACATTGCATTGAACACGTGAATCGCCTTTGAGTGTCATCAAGCATAGTTCAACATGGGTCCGGAACAATTTCAATCTCTGAATAAAATTATTTGTGTACTTTGCGAGAAATCAGACGAAACTGAAATCACCGGGCCTCTTTCATCCAAAGAAAGCACCTCCGCACATGAGAACTGTTTGGTAAGCGTGTTTTCATATTGCACCCATTACGGAAATGTAGTATCATTAGTCTTGTATAATATAAACTTGTAATGCACTTTATCCTCAGTTGTTTGCATCAGGGATCTACAGCAAGAATTCACCCACCTATGACGACCTGTTTGGATTTGCTGTGGAAGATGTAAAAGAAGAGCAGCGGAGAGGAAAAAGACTAGTGAATATCATTGCTAAAGCATATGCACAACACACATTAACTGCCTCTAAAACGTTATAATTCATTTTAACTGGTTATTTTTTTCTCAAAACATTGCGTAATACTTTACATAACACAGTGTCCATATACAATACTTTAACGATGAACTACAATATATATTAACAAAGTGTTACGTAGCCTAAATGTGAAATAATTGAAATATTAGGGGTATTTAATGTGTAATATTCTGAAAGTATAAATTCTGTACAGGACATGTACAGTTGCAATCATAATTATTCAACCTCCTTGACTTGCAAGACTTTTTGCTGCCGAGAACAACATTTTATGAAAACAATTCAACAAAGGCATCAGTAAACTATTATAGAAAGTTTATTAATACACATTTGAGTGATTCTGAGAACATAAAGTTGATGGAAATTGAAAAAAAAATCTAATTGGCTCTAAACATTCATGTACAAAATTATTCAATCCCCAAAAGCCACATTTTGTGCAGAATCTTTTATTCTTTATTACCTCCAATAAGAATGGCCCATTCTTCGCTTGAAAAAGCTTCCAGATCACTGATAATCTTTGGTTTTCACATTGCCACTGCTTTTGTCAAATTCCACCAAATATTTTCAATGAGTTTTAAATCTGAAGACTGAACAGTCCACTCAAGAACATTCTATGACCGATCCCTGAACCAAGCTTAAGCAGATGTGGATGTATAATTTGGGATGATTGTCCTGCAGGAAAGTCCATTGATGCTCCTTCTGCTCCTAAGCTTTACCTTATTTGCACCAGACGTACCGCTGATGCATGGGTCCAAAACATTCTAGTTTGGTCACATCACTCCATAAAACATTCTTTTCTAGAGCTCCACAGGTCTATCCAAATGAATTTTAGCATATTAAAGTGGGCCTTTTGTGTTCTTCTTGCTCAAGTGTGGGATTCGGCAAGATGTCTCAACGTGAAGTTCATGTTTGTCTAGTGTTTTTCTTTTACTCTGCATTTAAATGTTGTTACATTTCATCAGGTCATCTTCCAAGTCTTTGGTAGTAAATTGAGGGTTTTTCTCATTTGCTTTAATCAAACCTTTTATTCTTCTTGGTGGTATTGTGCTTTTCTGGTACAACGCATTTTAAACTTATGAATAAGTGGTGTCTCTAGGAACTTGTCTCTAGTATTTTGAAAATGTTCTTGTAGCCATAGACTTTCTAACATAATAAAATAATTTCTTCTCAATAGCTTTTGTGAGAGCTCTTTTGACTTGGCCATCTTTGCTACTCAACTTCAGCACATGCATGGGCTAAATGTATGTATGTGTAACAACTCAAGCTAATTCAGCTTTGTTATAAAGTTTCCAAAGCTTAATTGTGTTTTAACACAATTTTGTACCATACCATATGGTACAAAAACAGCAGTGTTGCATAGGCTTTGCATAATTATGACATAGCTATATTACAAAAAATCCTTTAACTCAAAAACATTGCATTATATATTGTCATTATCACTTTTAATTTGTATTACTTTTGTAAATTATTACAGTCTCCAGGGGGTTGAATAGTTTTGATTGCAATGGTAATTTGTATTGAGTACAGCATATACGTTTACAGTATATTTTAACATGAATACTTCTGTGCGTTAAATGTAAACTGTGACCAAACGGTCATCATATTCTAGTGTTGTTTCTCTGTGGATGCCTAATTGCTGTGTGTTTATTTATAGCTTTGCCACCACTGTAAAAAAAACGGTGCTACAGCGGGATGTGATTTAAAGCGCTGTAAGCGCTCGTACCATTTTCCCTGCGCCGTAGAGGCCCGTGCCACAATCGATGAAGACATTAATAAAGGCCGTTTTAAGTAAGATGAAAGAATCTATCAATTTATGTTTTCGATGTAGTAAAATTAACCTAATTAATGTTTCCTTTTAGACTGTTCTGTGAATTACATGATCCAAAATCCCAAAAAACAAGTAAGTGTTTCTATTTTAAATTCAGAAATTCTATGGTAAAACTGTTTTTTTTTTTTTTTTGTATCAGTGATATCAAATTAAATTTGTAAGCAGCTTGTCAGAAAATGTGAAATGTCAATGTGAGAATTATATTCAAATTTTTGCTTACAAGGATCGGCAGAAGGTCGAAGGCCTGACCTGAAAAGGCCTGACAGGGTCAGCATGCACACACACACACACACACACACACTTACATACATTGACTTTTACCTAACCACATTACTGTTCATCTTAAAACATCACCGCACGATTCTGAAATAAAGACATGTAAATATCACATTAATTTTGATTACAATGAGAAATTTTGGATGTGAATTCCTGTCTTTCCTTTTCTTCATTGAATAATAGAGAGATTCTAATTCATCTACAGGGTAAGTGTGCCGTGTTTGTGGATTTTCATCAGAACTGATTAATCACAGAACACTGTCACGTTAATTATTACAGTGTGATTATTTCAGATGATCTTGTGTTTGCTCTTTTTCAGGTCGTCAGAAGTGAGTTTGTCCAAAAAGAAGAAGAGGAATTCACCTATTCTCATAGATTCTGGTAATTGTTCATACAATGTATTATAGCTTTATATTACACAGTACTGCAGTAATACTCAATAACCAAGTTAAGTTACAAAAAGTAGAGTGTTTAGTCAGAGATCTTTACATTTGTTTATTTGTCAACATGAGAATAATAGCTAGTTTTTGGCATGTTGATGACAGATATTGTAATGTAAATGTAAAACATTAATAACATTGGACTATTATAATTTTATCATAGATGATGACATTGAAGACACCTTGGCCCCCATTTATACTCCAATAGAGTCATATATAGAGCACAGTGCATCTCCAAATCGGTACAATGTGAGTTTTCAAAATGTTTTCATGGTGTCTTGATGCATCATATGAATATGTCTCATTACACATCATCTTGTAAACATTAAATTTAGATAGCAAATTGACAATTCTTGTTTCTAGCAAAGACATGGCTCTTTTAAAGTTTGTAGTAATATTGTTGTAATTTTTCTCTTTTTAATTTCAATAGCAGTCAAATCCTGATCCTGAAAGTAAAAGGTATGCTGAACTTTATTAATCTACACAAAGTATCCAGCATGAAACATGTACTAGGAAGACATTTGATTAAGACTATAGTCATTTGTTGTACTGACAAAATTCTTGTCTATAAGTTCCTTGAACTTATTCCTTGAGATTCTCTGTCAATTTACAGGCCCTGTGCAAGGCCCAGTCCATCAACCGCAGGTACAAATGAACACTGTGTAAAAGTAAAGGGTCATTTGTATTTCTTACTGTAAAGAAAGATAGTCACATGATTTTCAGGAGGTAATTTTTATTATGCTGATAGTAGCTTACTGAGTCCATCTGTATAGATGTGTGTCTAGTATGAGATGCATTTGTGTTTGTTAGGTTCATTAAAAGGGGGCTTAAGGTCTGATCAGAAGGCTTGTGGATCAGCAGGCAGTTCAGGAGAATTGCATAGCAGGGTCAGAACACACACACACACTGTTCAGCTTTCCTTTCATAAATACACTTGGTGTTTTCTGAAGTACAGTCATTATCAACATCGTCAAGAAAATACACAAAAATTGCTCTGTACTATTATAAATAAATAACACTTCATAACATAAATTGAACTTAGTTTAATATCTAAATAATGAAACTTAATTTAAAAAACAAATAATAATAATAATTAGTGCTGTCAAACGATTAATCGCGATTAATCGCATCCAAAATAAAAGTTTTAGTTTACATAATATATGAGTGTGTACTGTGTATATTTATTATGTATATGTAAATACAAACACATGCATGTATATATTTAAGAAAAATATGTTGTTTATATATTAATATATATATATATACACCTTGCTATGTGTACTGCGTTAGGCTAATCGAGACTTGTCTTTTGTTAGTTTTGACTGCTTTTATTGTCCTCATTTGTAAGTCGCTTTGGATAAAAGCGTCTGCTAAATGACTAAATGTAAATGTAAATGACTACATGTAAATGAATCTTTAAAACATTTGGCAGTAAAATTGTAGCAGTAAAGCGTTTCTCTTTTCACTTTTAATAGCAGTCCTCTCCTGTGCCTGAAAAAACAAGGTATGTTTAGGATTTTGAACAATTTTGAAAACAATACAAATACAAGAATACCACAGTTTACCGTGGTATTTTGGCAAAAACTTACTATAGTAAAGTTATTTAAGGAAACTTCCCTGACTGTTTCCCTTTGTTTGCAGGCCGTGTGAAAAACTCAATCCATCAACCACAGGTACAAATGTGTTTGTGTTTTTGAAAACAAATGAACGAGAAGTATTATCATTCCTTACTGTAAAGAAACAGTTTCATTCTTTTCAGAAGCTGACGATGATGACACAGACATTGATTCAGTGAGTCTATCTGTACAGAACACATCACTCACATCACACCATAAACAAGCACATGTATTTACTGATATTTTCATGTCACTTGACAAGGGGAAAAAAATGACAGCAAAAACACAAAACAAGGACACGCAAAACCCCAATGGCACCTTAGAACAAAGACATTGTTTACTACGTACATATCAGTCTGATACATGTCAAGAAAGATCCAAGACTTGAGGACAAATAAATGAATGAAACAATCTCCCCCATATCTTTTTGGAAAACTTTTCCATAGCTTGGAATTTTACAAACTTTCAAGCCAGCAACATTGAGCGCAGAGGAACAAATTAACCAGGCCTCCTGGGCAAAATTGCCACCAAAAGTGAAATTTTTTTAAATATTTTTATTATCTTCCCCCATAATGAGTTTTAAATAAAACGCTCAGAACAGAACTTCAAAAATTTAAAAATACATCCAAAACCATTTAAATTTAGTACAATCATCACCATCCAGTATAGTTCCATTCAAAAGATTTGTAATATTTCTAAAGTCTCTCATTCTCACCAAGACTGCATTTATTTGATCAAAAATACAGTATATTAGTAATATTGTGAAATATTATTACAATAATATTATTTTAAAAAGTGTTTGCTATAATAAAATATTTTAAAATCTAATGTATTCCTGCGATGGCAAAGCTGAATTTTCAGCATCATTACTCCAGTCTTCAGTGTCACATGATCCTTCAGAAATCATTCTAATATGCTGCTTTGCTGCTCAAGAAACATTTTGTGAAAACAATACGTTTTTTTCATGATTCTTTGTTGAATAGAAAGTTCAAAATAAGAGCATTTATTTGAAATGGAAATCTTTTGTAACATTATAAATATCTTTCCTGTCTTTTTTTTATCAATTTGATGCATCCTTGCTGAATAAAAGTATTAATTTCTTTAAAAAAAACGCAAAAACAAAAAAAAGTTTGAACAGTGCATTATACTCACTTATTATTGATTATACTCACTTATAGTATAAGTTCTATTTATAACTTGCCTGCAGCCAGAAGTGTAATTGCTCTCTCTTTCTCAGGATGATTCTCAGAGTTTGTTACAACCAGAAATGTACCATATCACTGTTCCATGTAGCGTTATTATGGACTCTGGACCCTCAGCAGAATCAGGTGCGTTCATTTCTCTTTTGTCTTGCTGCTGTCATTTCAAAGAGGCGTAAATCTGTGGACATAGACAGGGCTGTCGCAAGGGGGGTGTGAGGCCCTGTGGAATGG